GCGAATGCCTTAGAGGTGCAGGTGGTCTGTGCCTCTTGGTGTTGGGTACAGGAGAATGACATGTCCCAGGGGACCAGAGACCTAGCTACCCCACATCCCCCCTGCGATGGGGGAGGAAGGAGAGGGCTGGGGACATGCTTGTGTCCCCTCCAGGACCCTGCAATGTGGGCAGTCAGGCTGCGGCGGGTAGTGCTGCACTGGTGCTTGGGTTTTTTCTGCCCTCCATGTGTACATGCCTGCTGCCCGCCATCAGCAGGCAGGGCACCGCTGCCCAGCCTGGTCATCACTGGGGCCAGCCAGGCTGTGGGGGTGCCAGCCGTGCTTGGGGCACACAGAGGTGCAAGGGCAAGTGGCCAGCAGGGTTTGGTGGCCTCGTTTGGTGCTGTGCTTCGTGAGGCAGGACAGGCTCGAGCTCCCTGCACCGCTGGGAGTGGCCCCTGCGGAAGGACGGTGGCATGTGTGGCCTTGGACAGGGACATGCTGCTGGGGAAGCCGTGTCCCGGCAGGGCAGAGTCCAGCCCTCACCCGCCTCCGAGGTGGCAGAGCCGGGCACCAGGCTGTGTCACACCACGTGCTCTCTGCACTGGGGTGGGTGCATGGTGGGGTCCTGCCATTGAAGAGGGGTGAGCACTGGGGCGGGTGCTCACAGCATCTCTCCAGAGCTATTCGAGAGCCCGTTGCTGGAGCCAGAAGAGGAACATCTCCTGCTGGACCCAGGCAACACGTTGAAGCTGTACTGTGACACCAGCCAGAGCAGTGCCAGCGTGGTCTGGTACAAGGAGTCACGGCCGCTCATCCCAGGGGGTCGCATCCATCTCCAGCAGAGCCTGCTGGAGATCTCGGAGGTCGCCTACGAGGACTCAGGGCTCTACGTGTGCCGGGCACAGGGGACTGGGGAGATCCTGCGCAACTTCACCATCTCTGTTGTGGGTAGGAGCCCCAACAGTGCCCAGCTCCCCGCTGGGGCAGCAAGGCAGCCGCTGCCCACCCAGCCCTGCAGGCAGAGGTGTCCCTCTCAACCTGTTTTCCTTTGCAGACTCACTGGCGTCAGGTGATGACGATGAAGACAGTGATGGGCACAGTCCCCACGGAGACCGAAACGAGGAGCCTGTTTATGTGCACAGAGGTCAGTGCCACCCCGGGCAGGAGAGGGCAGCTGGGGCAGATCCAGGGACGTGGGGCACTGCTGCCTCCCGCTCACAGCACGAGCGGCTGGGAGCAGCTCCGGCAGCATCCATTCTGCCCCTTGGCCCCCTTCCACTGTACGTCCTGTGCCTCCCCAGCTCCTTACTGGACTCACCCGCACCGGATGGACAAGAAGCTGTATGCAGTCCCTGCGGGGAACACGGTGAAGTTTCGCTGCCCAGCCTCGGGCAGCCCCAGCCCCAGCATCCGCTGGTTCAAGAATGGGCGCGAGTTCCGGGGGGAGCACCGCATTGGGGGCATCCGGGTAAGGGCCAGGTCCTCCCACCGCAGCCTCCCCTCGGGGGTCTGGCCCCCCTGTCACACCTTGCTGCCTTGCCTCCTCCCTCTGCAGCTCCGGCACCAGCACTGGAGCCTGGTGATGGAGAGCGTGGTGCCCTCCGACCGCGGCAACTAGAACAGGTTTGGCAGCATCCGGTACAGCTACCTCCTGGATGTGCTGGGTGAGGCTCCTCGGCACGGCGCTGATCCTGGCTCCCCTCTCCCCCCCGTGCCTGGCAGAGGGGTTGGGGTCGCAGGGAAGGGGGTGGAGGAGCCTCTGTTCATGTCCTCTCTGCTGGTGCAGCCTGCCTGTCCCTCGCACCCGAGGGACGTGGGGATGGAGACCAGGCTCAGGTTGCACTGGTCTGCTGTAGAGCTGGGGAAGGGCTCTCTGTGGCTTCACGGTGGGTGGAGAGAGAAGGAGAAAGGAGCCCCTGCTGTGGGCTGCCGTGTTGGTGACACTGCTCTGCTCTCCTCTGCACAGAGAGGTCCCCACACAGGCCCATCTTGCAGGCTGGGCTGCCCGCCAACACCACGGCCCTGGTGGGCAGCGACGTCGAGTTCTTCTGCAAGGTCTACAGCGATGCCCAGCCCCACATCCAGTGGCTGAAGCACATTGAGGTGAACGGCAGCAGCTACGGTCCTGACGGGGTACCCTATGTGCAAGTGCTCAAGGTAACAAGGGCTAGAAGCGCCCATGTCCCAGATGCCTACCATAAAGTGGTGACGGGGGGTGCACAGAGCCCCCCGAGGAGGAGAAGGGATGCTGACCATCCATCCCTCTCCCTGGCAGACCGCAGACATCAACAGCTCCGAGGTGGAGGTGCTTTACCTGCGCAATGTCTCCGTGGAGGATGCCGGCGAGTACACCTGCCTGGCGGGGAACTCCATTGGCCTCTCCTACCAGTCTGCCTGGCTCACTGTCCTGCCAGGTAGGGGTGGGGGTCCTGGTGCGGGAGCTGGAACCCCTGGCATGCAGGGACAATGGCTCAGGCCAACTCATTCACTCCCTCCAGAAGAGGAGCTGGTACGAGAAGCCGAAGCCCCCGAGGCCAAGTACACAGACATCATCATCTACACCTCGGGCTCGCTGGCTGTGGCCATGGCCGTCATCATCGTGGTGCTGTGCCGGATGCAGACTCAGACGAGCAAGCAGCCCCTGGAGCCCATGGCGGTCCACAAGCTTTCCAAATTCCCGCTCATCCGACAGGTGGGTGCCGAGCTGGAGCCCTGGGGCCGCAGGGGGGACATTGGCAACCAACTGGCTCCGCGAGTGCCACCTGTGCCTGTCATACCTTACCCTGCTGCCAGCTCCCCACAGCCTCCTGCGGCTCCCTTGCCTTGTTGCTCCGAGTGAGGGTCTCTCTGCAGCACTGTTGGGTCTCAGTTTGGCCCTGGAGCGTGGTGTGGGATGGCTGAGGTCCCTTGGGCTCTCTTCACAGTTCTCCCTGGACTCCAGCTCCTCCGGGAAGTCCAGCACATCCCTGATGCGTGTCACTCGCCTCTCCTCCAGCTGCGCCCCGATGCTGGCTGGGGTCGTGGAGCTGGACCTGCCCCTCGATGCCAAGTGGGAGTTCCCCCGAGACAAGTACGGTGCTGCGCAGGGCAGGTCTGGGACTGGCGGCTGCTCTTGGCCACCCTGGGGACAGCAGCACATGGGTGACAGATGGGGAGGTCTCTGGCTATCAGCGGATACCTCAGCACTGCTGTACCCCAGGGTGCTGGGACTCGGCTGGGG